AGCTTCTTATTGGCTAACTCTTACATCTTAATTTAACCCATTTCTACTAATCTGTGTATTGCCATGAGGCTGTGGCTTACCAGGTAAAGTTCCAAAGTTCCTATCTGTTTCTGGTGGCTACATGGCATCTCCTTGACTCTGCCTTCTTCATCTCAGCATTCAGTTTAGTCCATCCATCGTTCCCCCCACCCCCACGTCTACCTAAGTTCTGCCCTTTCAACAGGCCAAGGCAGTTTCTTTATTAACCAATAGGTATTCACAGCATACAGAGGGGAATCCCAGATTGTGCTTCTGCATCGCTGGGATTAAAGGTGTGGCCACCACAGCCCAGCTTGTTTCCAGTCTTATAGACATTAACGTTAAAGCATATTCTGTTAGTGAATAGGTAATGTGAAATTCCAAGAGTGAAGCTTGGTAAGAAAGTGAGAAAATGGAAAGGAGATACAGAAAGGAGGTATTAGACACTAATAATTAGAGGGTTATTAAAGCAATCTGTTTAGATGTGACCTTTTAGAGTATGTATATAAGATGTGTTAGTCTCATTCTGAAATATCAACTTGTTTAATACCAGGTTTATGTTGACTCTCCCTTACTAAAATAACTGGGTTGAAAAGTGAAAATCTTATCTTTGCTAGATTTAAAAATATTCTTTATTAACTTTATTGTTTCTGCATAATTTCCTAAGTTCTAGACTCAACCTGAAAGGAGTTGTTATCCATTGGTCTTCATATACCATTCTCAGAATAGATGGTATGAATATACTAGGCTTCAGAATAATAAATCTGCTTGGGTCTTTTCTTAGTTAGGGTTTCTGTTGGTATGAGGAGGCACCATAACTACAGCAACTCTTACAAAGGAAACATTTAATTGGGATGACTTGCTAACAGTTCAGAGGTTCAGTTCTTTGTTGTCATGGCAGAAAGCAATGCAGCATACAGGCAGACATGGTATTAGAGGAGCTGAAAGTTCTTACATCTTGATGCACAGGGAACAGAAAATGGTCTGAGATACTGGGCCTGTTTTGAGCATACATGAGACCTCAAAGCCAGTCCCCACAGTGACACACTTCCTTCAAGAAAGCCACACCTCCTAATAGTGCCACTTGCTATGAGTTTATGGGAGCAAATTACATTCAAACTACCAAAGTTCTAGTATACATTTTTAGTCTGTGTTCAGTATAGTATAATACAGACAATATATAAATGGTAGTCAGAAGTTCACTAATACATTAAGGAAATAATAGTATACTGTAAGGCTGTGTAATAAGTGAAACTTAGATGATCTAAGTGGCTTATTGAAATGCTTCTGGAGAAAGTAAACAAACTGAAGTCTAGGTAATTCGACTAGAGAAGGAAAGTCTGTATATGGGCAGAAAGGTGTGTTTTCTAAACTGGGAAAGAAAAGGCTAAGTAGCACATCATAAAAATGATTTACTTGAAATACAGAAGACATTGAAATTGCCAGAACTTAACACATTTGCTTCCTATTTCATAGGTAGTTTGTGGACAAAAGCTGACACGACTGTTTACATCACAGCAGATACTACCAAGTGAATGTTTGAGTTGCCTCGTAGAACTTCTTGAAGACCCAAACATAAGTGCTTCACTGATCTTAAGTATTATCAGTTTGCTGTCTCAACTGGGTAATGTTTTCATACTTTCTTTTTTTAGAGTTTGGAATACTATGAAATTATTTTTTTTAAGATTTATTTATTTTATGTATATGAGTGCTCTATCTGCATGTACTCCTGCACGCCAAAAGAATCCCACTATAAATGGCTATGAGCCACCATGTAGTGGCTGGTAATGAAATTCAGGACCCCTGGAAGAGCAGCTAGTACTTTTAACCACTGAGCAATGTCTCCAGCCCTGAACTTAATATTTTTAAAGGGCATATAAAATTAATAGAATTCTTCAAGAATAATTTAGTTTCAAAATATTTCTTCATTGTAGAACCATTTAAAGTTTGTCTTATTTCAGGTTCTCTCAAAAGAGTCTCTGAAGCTGGGTGGTGGTGGCACATGCCTTTAATCCCAGCACTTGGGACAGAGCTAGGAGAATCTCTTGAGTTCAATGCCAGCTGAGTCTACAGAGTGAGTTCCAGGACAGTCAGGGCTACAGAGAAACCCTGTCTCAAAAAAAGAAAAAAAAGAAAAAGAGTCCCTGAGTATATACATATATACAGACACACACATACATGTACATATGAGCTCATATATATATATACACACACACACCATATCTTAAAGACTTTCATATTCTGTAGAAAAGAATGTATATGGAGAAATGACATTCTATTGCATTTTAAAACAACAAAAAGCCATGTGAACATAATGCCAGTATTAAAGGCAACAATCAGAAAGATGTAATAGTCTCTAAAAATAATCCTTCAGTAATAGTCTACATTGAATTTAAAACCAAAGATAAACTATAGTTATTTTTTCTATTACTTCTCGTTATGTTTCATTTTTAAATGTTCATCTATTAATCATTTTCCCCTTGATTTGTGTATGCACAGAGGTGTTAGATATTTATGTCTATGGTTATAATCAGGTATCTTAGTAATAGAGAAGTATTAGCAGAGAGCAGCATTGCACTGTTTTGCAGAACAATCTAAGTATTGTTAGTGATAGAAATATTCTGAGTTTGTATTGTTCCTTAGAGTAGCCTCTTGCCATCTAGGCTTGTCAAGCATTTGAAGTCTGGGGAGCTGAATCTAATTTTGGTTAAACTTAATTTAAATAGTTGCAGAGTAATATGTACTAGTGGCTGTTATATTAGATAATACAGATAAGAGAAAAATGGCATGAGTTGTAATTCATTATCCCAGCCTTCTTAATCATTTCTACCTTTAGTGATACAATCTTAGTTAATGGTATGATGTGTACCTTCTAATTTAAATAATTTATTTTTAAGTAATAATAGATTTTATATTTTAAGTCTTTGGATTTATAAAAGAAGTTGAAATGATAATCTGACTGCATACTATATAATCCAGGCTAGGATGGAACTCAAAATTTTCTTGCCTCATTCTCGTAAGTGGGGATTACAGGCGTATACCACCAACCCCAGCTGTTATATTGTTTTAACAGCCAAGCTTCAAAACATACGTAAAACAAGGCTTTTTTCCTTTGATAGTAATCTATGTAGAAAAATTATTTATACTTTGAAATTGGTGTGCATTAATTAAAAAAAAATCTGTCTTGGCCAGCCATGGTGGCTTAATCCTGTAACCTCAGCATTCCAAAGCTGAGACAGGAGGAACTGCCATGAATTCCAGGCCAGTCTGGGCTACAGAGTGAGATCCTGATTCAGAAACTCAAAATTCAACAAAAGATAAGATTATATGACATAAAATTATTTTACTATTGTGGAAAGATTTCTGCAAGTAAAAGTGATACATTTTATGCCATTTTATTTTAACTTTTAGCTGTAGATACTGAAACCAGAGACTGTCTTCAGAATATATACAACCTGAATAGTGTGTTGGCAGGAGTGGTTTGTCGGAGCAGCACTTGCCACAGTGATTCAGTGTTTTTACAGGTATACAGATCCTCATAGTATATTGACTCCTGTTCTCCTTTCTTTATTCTCAGACAAGAATTGGTAAGAAGTAGTTAGCTTTCCCGGACAGCCAGCTTCAAATCATGATGTGAAGACTTATTGCTAATTATAAATGCTTGGCATTAGCTCTAGGTTTGTTTCTAGCTAGCTTTTTTTCTTTAACTTATATTTACCCCTTTCTATTAATCTATGTGTTACCCAGAGGCTCATTTACCTCATCTACATACTGTCTATCCAGCTTTCCTGCTTCTTCTGTGTCTGGCTGGCTGACCCCCTGGCTGGCTGGCTAGCTTCCCTTTTCTCTCTGCCCCCACCCCCCAGTCCCACCTATTACTCCTCTGCCTAGCCATTGGCCATTCAGCTTTTTACTAATCAGGTGCCTTAGGCAGGCAACACATCTTTACATAGTTAAATAAATGCAACATAAACAAAAGCAGTGCACTGTTGCATAGTTAAACAATTATTCTGCAACACAAATAAATGTGATACTTCTTTATATAGTTAAACAAATATGCTATTCCAAAACAGTAAGATGTCTTATTTTATATGATGACATGACATCATCAGGCATAGTACTTATTAGGAGCTGGTTGGTCACGTGCCAGATATGTAAATATTTCTAAAGAAGGAGTCAGAGATAACCAGATCTGCATTATCACCACTTTAACTTATAACACTATAACTTAAGGACACAGATGTGTGCCTTTTGAAGTGTGAACTATTCATGTTAAAATTATAATTTAGGTTATATAGCCTTGGACTGTTGAAGAAAAAATTTACAAAGAAAAAAATCTTACAAAACTTAAAGCTATGGTTCATACTTGTTTAGCATAATTTGAAAACTCTTTCATCATTTTATTGAATCTAAAATGTCATCATCTGCAAGAAAGATAAACATGACCAATTGAACTGACATTCACTTTTAGACATAAAATGTAAAGGGAAAAAGATACCTTCAGATTAATTCAACCCACACTCAAGTTTAGTGTAAGTAGGGAAATAAGGTAAATGACTGGTCAGATTTAGTTACTACAGCTGAATACTTGGGAGTAGTTCATTTGATAAGGAAGAATATGTATTTATCTCATAGGTTTGGTGGTTCAAGGACATGCTATTTATATCAACTATTTTTTAGATCTGGCAAAGGGTCTTCTGGCTATAATCATGGCAAATAGAAAGGGTGGGAACATGATCATATTTCAGGTAAGATAGGAGAGATACTGGGACCAGACTTGTTCCTTTTTCTTCTCTTAAGAACTACCATCAGCTGCCAGCTGGCCTGGGTCTGAAAAAGCCTGGGTTAAAACCGGTCTCGCTGAACATAGCGGACAATGAGGACTACTGAGGCCCCACAAACAATGGCAGTGGGTTTTTGATCCTACTGCACCTATTGGTTTTGTGGGAGCCTAGGCAGTTTGGATGCTCACCTTACTAGACCTGGATGGAGGTGGGTGGTCCTTGGACTTCCCACAGGGCAGGGAACCCTGGTTGCTCTTTGGGCTGACGAGGGAGGGGGACTTGATTGGGGAAGGGGAAGGGAAAGGGGAGGCGGTGGTGGGGAAGAGACAGAAATCTTTAATAAATAAATAAATAAATAGGAAAAAATGAAAAAAAAAAAAGAACTACCATCAGGGTCACATGGGAAATACATGATACCTTCAGTGATCTAAGGACCTCTATTTAAGCCCTAACTTGTACAAGTTCTGCTACCTCCCGGTACCACCATCTAAGAAACTAAGGTTTAAATCACAGGACCCACCTTGAATGGACATAACTAGGTGCCTTTCAAACCATAGCAATGACAAGCCATTAAATAAAATATGTAGAAATGGGTAAATTAAGACATGACTCCCATGGTTCTTAGTAGTCTCATTGCTTAGAATATATGTTTTGAAGTAAAATTACACTTAAAAAAAATGGCATGGCTCTTGCTCTAGTGTTTGGTGCCTAAAATGATATACTAAAATGAAATACTTGCAATAGTTTATTTTTATGAGTGGGCAGTATGTTTTCATGTGTATACTCAGAATTATTTTCTTATTCTCAGTGCATTCAACTTCTGCAGAGGTTAACATATAATGTCAAGTTTTTCCATTCTGGTGCCCACATAGATGACTTAATTACATTCCTGATTGGTCATATGTAAGTATACAACCAAGCTATAATTTATTTGTTTATTTTTAAACTTAAACTAGGTGGTAGATCATTTCTCCTTAATGTTTTCTAACTTTAAAAGCAAAATAAAAAAATCATTTATTTTTGTGTATGTATTTGTGCCTAAGTACGTGAGGTACACCATGTATGTGTAGGTATCTGTGGAGGACAAAAGAGGGCTTCATATTTTCTGGAGCTGGACTTACAGAGAGTTGTGTGCTGTCCAGTGTGAGTGCTTGGAACTTAGCACCAGTCCTCTAAAAGAGCAATCATCTTACCAGCTTTCTAGGTTTTTAAACTAATTACTATCTGTTTCCTCCACTTGGATGATTTTAAGGGTTGAGTATCTTAAAACAGGTCTAATTTTCATAAGTAAGATCTAACAAATTGATTTATGAAAAAATTAATCAAGGTGAACGTTGTATGCTCTGTAGATGAGCATAATAAAGTATAGTCATTAAAATTTAAAGCTCTCAAAAAAAAAAGTATAGTCATTCTGACTGCTATTTCTTTATTTCTGTGGTGTTGAATTAGGTGCGGAGGGGCTGCGTCCCCAGCACCCCGGCCGCCTGCTAGCTTATGCCCGAAATAATTACACAGAAACTGTATTCTTTTAAACACTGCCTGGCCCGTTATCTGTAGCCTCTTATTGGCTAGCTCTTACATATTAATCTAACCCATTTCTAATATTCTGTGTAGCCCACGAGGTGGCTTACCAGGGAGGATCTTATCCTGTGTCTGTCTGGAGTAGGAGAATCATGGCGACTCCCTGACTCAGCCTCTTTCTCCCAGCATTCTCTTCTGTATACTCCGCCTACCTAATTTTCTGTCCAATAAAATGGGCCAAGGCAGTTTCTTTATTATAATTAACCAATGTCCTTCCTCCATCACTGTGGCACATTTGAATAGGATAATTTAGATTTAAAACATAAAAGAAATAGTATACTCTGACTATGATAATCTTGTTTATACATGTAAAAGCTTATGTATATTAACTACTCTGTGATTTTGACTAATTAGAGTGGATACCATGCTTTCTGTCTTTACAACAGTCAGTCTTCTGAAGATGAGTTAACGATGCCTTGCCTAGGATTATTGGCAAATCTTTGTCGGCACAATCTTTCTGTTCAAACACAAATAAAAACTTTGGTGAGTTGAGGGTTTAATTATGTATGTATGTTTATTTTATAGTAGGTTCTATTCCTAAATTCTTCCAAGTTTTTCTCTTTTTTTTTTTAATTTCCAATGGAACCTATGGCCTTGCCCATGCCATTTGGTACCTTTACCAAAAAAGAAAATTTTCTCCAGATTCTGTGTATAATAAATAGTCCTTTAATTTCTACTTATCTATGTTGTAAAATTTTCCTTTAAATATTAATAATAATTTTCCCTTTAAAAATAATCACCATGTGTTGAAAAGTTCATGATAATGTTTAATAAGCTTGTCCACTCTGTACAATTGTATTTTTTAACCAAAATGTACATTTTTAAATTCAGTTTCTTTTCTCCTTCAGAGTAATGTGAAATCCTTTTATCGAACTCTCATAAGCTTCCTAGCACACAGCAGTTTGACTATAGTTGTGTTTGCACTTTCAATATTATCCAGTTTGACGCTAAATGAAGAAGTGGGAGAAAAGGTAATTTTTTTCTATTTTTGAAATTAATTTTGAGATTATAGTGTTTAATATTTTAAAATCATTAAGATACCAGCTTATAATTTCTTGTGTATAATACAGTTTTCCCAATTTTTCAAAGCTATTTCATGCTCGAAACATTCATCAGACTTTCCAACTAATATTTAATATTCTAATAAATGGTGATGGGACCCTAACAAGAAAGTACTCAGTCGACCTACTTATGGATCTCCTAAAAAATCCTAAAATTGCTGATTATCTTACCAGGTATGTTATTTATCAATATAACATTTTTTATTTATTATTTTAGATTCTGTGTGTATGAGTGTTGTGCCAGAGTATATGTATATGTACCACATATGTGCCTCGTGCCTGTTAAAACCAGAAGAAGGCCTGGGATCCCTGGAACTAGAGTTGAAGACATGTGTGAGCTGCCTTGTGGATGCCGGGAACTGAACCCAATACTGTGACAAAGAACACTCTTAATGGTTAAGCCATATCTCCAGCACCAGAACATTTATATATTTGTCTCCAAGTGTTTCTTGTCACTTACATTTGAAAGTCAGAAACATATACTTTCTAAAAGTTCATTGCGTTAGAGTCTTTGTCTTTATTTTCATGCAGTTTATTTTTATTTTATATATATGGGGTTTTGCCTGCATATATGTGCACCATGTGTGTGCCTGGTCCTTGGAGTCTAGAAGAGAACATAAGGACCTCTGAAACTGGAGTCATGGATGGTTGTGATCTACCCAATATGGTTGCTAGGAATTGACCCTGCTCTTTTGGAAAAGTAACACTCATCCTTGAACACTGAACTATCTCTCCAGACCTTGATTTTAGCATCTTAATTTCATTTTCTCAATACTTAAGTTGTGTTAGGATCTAGAAATTGGTTCAAATAGTGACTCATAGCCAAATAAGAAAACATTTATTGAGCACCTACATTGTGCAAGCAGTGAGAGACAAATGAGTCTCAGCAGCAGCAGAATGTTTAATAATTCCTGATTTTTCGTGAACAAAATAGATCTAAAGACCAGGGCAAACTTAACCTTGGGTAACTGAAGTTCTGCAAAACAAGACGCATTCACTTTAGTGTTTCTTGTTTTTCCTAAACATCTGTGATACAAATGGCTATCAAGTCAGTGTCATAGATAAGGGCATCTTTCCTGCAGAGTACCTTCCCTTTACCTGTCCTCTTTTCATCTGTTGTGAGCATCAGAATATCCATGTGTCACATGATGAATGCTTACTTAAAAGCTTTGTAGTAAATAGAAATCATCATTTGGATGTGGTCTCAGGAAACAGAAAAATGACTATGTAGCAGCAGTGGGAGATTGCTAAGCTAATACTCCTTTCAGTCTCTCAGTTGCATTCTTTCCTTCTCCTTTTTGTACAGAATAGATCTCCAAGAACCATGTTATCGTCTTTTGAGGCCATTTGTTAAGACCTCAATCTTGATTCTGTTTCTAAATAAATAGGAGAAAAATCACAAAGCTTTCCCTGGAACAGACCCTTTTATTTATTCTGGCAGCTTCCTTGATACGTACAATGTCTCATTCAAATATGCATTGCTTTCTTTTGCTGCCTTTCATGCTCAAGCTTACTTTATCCTTTATCTTTTGCTGTGTGTGTGTGTGTGTGTGTGTGTGTGTGTGTGTGTGTGTGTGTGTGTGTGTAGGGCTGTTTTGGAACTTACTCTGTAGACCAGGCTGGTCTTGAACTCACAGAGATTCACCTGCCTCTGCCTCCGGAGTGCTGGAATTAAAGGCGTGCCCCACTACAACCTGGCCTTACTTTGTCTTTATTTCAAATACAGGAAAAACAAAATGAAGACTCCCATCTGCTTAGAGTCCCCCGACCTATTTGCATGCCTAGACAAACTTGTTCCTGCCCATTGTTTCTTAACTCTAGCCTGTTCTGCTCATAAACATTTTATTACAGTGTGCTGTAAGCCTCACTCTGTCATCTTCAGTAAATTATTTTCATATTTCATGGACTGTTTCCTGTTCAGCTGTCACTTCTCTTTACTTGTACGTGTGCTTAAGCATTAACTTTTGTTTCAACCATTATATCCCTTTGATCGTTTTCAAGGTAAAGACCCAAATCTAAGCCCTGGCCACATAGCAGCTTTATTTCTTGACCTTTGCAGTGCTAGACAGTGACTGTAATCTGCAGGTGAAAATCGGCCCCTCAAGTCACAATGGTAAACAACCAGTAAACTACAATGTACTAATGTTGCTATGTTTTATTAGTCAGTAGATTGGGTTGTAAAAAATACATTTTTCACATGGAATAGTTTTAAGTTTACATGGATTTATGGGTACCAAACTATGTCATAAATCATGGAATATCTATGTAAACATTGTAAGCAAATTTGGTATATTTTTTGAGAATTTCATGCATGTTTGTAATATGTTTTGATGAGATCTACCCTCTTTGCTTTGCCTACAATTCTTGCTCTTCTGTCATTTAATGCATACCTTCAAACCTAGGTATGAACACTTCTCTTCGTGTCTTAATCAAGTTCTAGGACTTCTAAATGCAAAAGACCCCGATTCTTCTTCAAAGGTATGTAAAAGCATGACATTGTGTTTTATACTTTTAAAGCAAAACCTAAGTTAGCTGCTCTGCAGATTTAGAAACTTCACACTCATTTAACCAATGTTGAAATCAGAATGAGTGCATTACAAAATGGAAGCTACTTTAAGTTTTTCTTTCAGAGAGACA